CCAAGGCCTCGCTGGTTCCCGAAATCTACATCTTTTCCGGTTCTGATAGTTGTTGCTTTGGGTGAAGTGACCACATTCCATGACCGCCAATGTGCTTGGTTTTGTGCTTTGATCATGTCGGGCCAATGCCTTTGTGCCGCAGCCCTCCAACAACTTCGTCAACTTTCACGAAGAACGGAAGGATCTCAATAGCTACGGACAGCTGCGTACGATCCCCACACACACACACTAACACACACACACACACACACACATTTACTTACTACTTACCTTGAGGCGAAAGAGTAGTACGTGCAAGACTCTGGCCTCCTTGATGCTCTTCATGGTCGCGTTGCTCTTCACGGTCAGGAGCACCTCCTGAGCTGCAGGCACGCGGACTTCGGGGCGGATTTCTCAGGAAATCGCATCAAAAGCTACATGGCCTCATTGGCCAAGGGCCCCTCTGGCACAGCGTGCCGAATGATCACCTGTTGTTTAACCAGATCCCTGTTTTCTTGATGCATCGCAGTGCTATGTCCCTCGGATATTTTCCATTTGCGAGGTATTGCTTGCAGATTCGGCTGCTCGCCATCTGTCGCGAAATGTCGTTGAACAGGTTGTCTTTCCCTCCGGTGACCAGGAAGTCATCATCACCTCCAACTCGAGCTGGCCGCTTGATCCGCGGTTTCTTGGGATCATGGTAGTCTCCTATGATGAGCAGAACTTCCCCAATCTCCCGGCCAAGTCCAAAGTCAACAACCCAGCTGTCTCTCCTGTACAAATGCAGTTCGATGAGGCAAGAGTCCGATGCCATGAACAATACATTCGGGCTCCAGCCACCATTGGGAGCTAGGACAGCTCCGAATGATGAGAAGAAACGTGCCTGCTCAAGCAAGGTTGCTGGGGGGTCGTCCGCTATCGAAATGTCCAGCCGGGGATGAAACAAGGGTTTCAGCCGCTCCGGCTCCACAATCCGCCGCCAGGAAGACTTGCCACGCGTGTAGATTAGAACTCGGGAGTGGTCCTGTAAAGACAGCTGTTCACGCCCAAGAACAGACCTCCAAATCCTACCCTTCGCATAGTGCAACAGGTTCTTGGGTTTTAGGCTGTAGTCACAGCAAGGCCCCACTGAACGCAGTATGTGCAGCTGCTTCCGTGCACAGTAGCGGACATCAGTCGTGTAGTTGTAGACCCGCCAGTTGTGTGCATGTGCTACATTCCAGAAAAGGTCGTCTACCCAGTAGGATGTGTTGCTGCATCTTCTATCCACCAAGAGCGCCGTGTCAGAGCTTCCATAGAGTGTCATCCACCAATATAGCGGCCAGAAGTTTTGATGAAAGTCATGGTTGATGTTGCTGTGACAGCGCAACACGACGAAGGCAACGCGATCGTGCGGCAAAAGGACGCCGTCTGCTCCCGCCCCCGGTGGGCCGCAGCACTTTGGCTTCACACCGCAGCGGTTTTCGGGATCTTTGGAAGTCGCCAGGCACCTCGTCTGCTTGCACGCCCCGGTGCAGGCCACATACTTCTTCTCCAAAGGATACAAATCTCCCTCAAATGCAGTCGTTGAAGTGGCAGCGCTGCCTGCTTGGGAGTGTGAACTTGGGACTGAAATCGTCACAGCTGATGCGCAGGGCTGAAGCGAGGGAACTGTAAAATTTGGACCGAAACATTTCTTTTTGTTGAAGCCATCTCGTGGCGTCTTGCTCTCGCAGGGTTTGTCAGTCTTGAACCAGGAGCTGTAGACCTCCACGGCCTTTTCAGCAAAACGACTCATCTCAGACTGTCCAGGCACCCGGCCATCAGACTTTGGGCCAGAGTGCCCGCCGTGCAGGACGGAGGCTGTAAAGGAGTCAAAAGACTGCCTACATTTGAACCGCCCAGACGTGTCCAATTCATGTGCATAAGGCAATCCATCCACGCCGCTGTCTTTGGTTCGGGAATGCAGGACAATCCCACCAGCAGCCTGAAGGGTTGCCGCGAAGGACGGAAAGCTTCCTCCCCCTCCAATGATTAACACGTTCGAGGAAGCAATCGTGTCCAAGTCACGCCGTAATCTCGTGTACCCACTGCTTCCGCTTCCTGATAATGCACGCCCGGCAAGAAACTTCAGTTTTGGAAACTCCGAGAGGCACGCAAACTCCCTGCTTCCGGGATTCAACTCGCCCACGACTACGATTTCTGTGTTCTGTGGAAGCATTTCCGGCACTGCAGCAAAAAGATAGCGCAGGGCATTCAAATACAGAAAGAGTGGACAAGAGTCGGGTCGGTCGCCCCGGCGAAGCTGCAAAGCGATTCGGAAAGCTGCGGATTCCCACTCAGACGGTCGACCCTCTTGGAGCCGAATCGCATTGTACTGGGCCTGCAACCACTGCCATGACACCTCGTGCGTTACAGTTTGAAGTTCCGGGCAGGTCAGTTTGTACACGACTGGCTTCGTTCGCTTCGGGTCGGGCCTAGGACTCAGCTGATGTGCGGTTCCACGAAACAAAGCCTGCCCGTTTTTCACCCGAACCACGTGTTTGCTCGACTTGTCTGACTGCAACGATGCTGTAACCAGTCGTGCTTCGTTCAAGATAGATCTGGAAGCTATTAGAGACGCGTTGCCCTTCACACGATCCTTCGTGCATCCAAACAAAGCTCCAACGTTGCCTGTAGAATGGCCACCAGTCTCCCAATCACCAGTGCTGCAGACGTACTTGCAGCTGTACTTCGAGGAAAGCACAAGTATCCATTCCATACGACGGAACATGCCTCCAATACCCTCGCCATTGTGGCAGGGCCGTGCATTATAAACAAAGCACGGCGGCAACGGACGAGTTTCCACAATGTCCACTGTAGGGTGCGATCCTATGAGAGATGTGCTCTCGGCCACCTGGGGCGGCACAGTAGGCAAGCGAGGCTCTGACTCCGACCGCGGCCACCCCGGCGACCCCGGCCCCTGCAACTTCGGGGCCCATCCCCCTCTCTGCGGAGCTTCAAGGCCGTGTCCGTGTGTGCCATTCGGTGTGCCCGGACGGTCCATTTCCCCAACAGACCATGGGAAGGTCAAGATCGGGAAGAAGAACCAAGCCGAGAGTGGCAGGAAGCTCGCCACCAAGCCGACGATGAAGACACACGGATTTTCACATTGCGCCATGAAGGAAAAGCTTGCGATGAGGGGAATGCCATTCTCTATATGAACTGCCTCCTGAACTGGCTCCCGGACGGACTGCTGATTCATGCCCAAGCTTGCCTTATCTACTGCAAAGCATCGCCGAACCTCGATGTCGCGAACGGGGACTTGTTGCCGCTCCACTGGAGGTGTGGGCGTCTTCGGCTTTGCTTTACCTGCCTTGGCCTTGGCAGGTCAATGCTGGGCTGCTGGACTCTCCGCCAACAAGCCACAACCTGAGGAAGTGGCTTGGCTTGCGACAGCTGGCTCTGGAAATGCCTCTCAAAGCTTACACCCGTCCATCAAATCTTTGCAAAGCTCTTGCTGGCACAAGCTTTCTAATCCTGTGGGCCGGTCGGCAAAAAACTGAACTGTTTGCGGCTTTCAGGTGCCTCTTTTCTGCAAACCGTGTCTCACAAAAGTCCAGTCATGGACAGGCTAGTTCATACTCTCAATCTAAATATATCGAAACTAGATAGCATGTCAACAGGCCCCTCACGTGCCGGCCGGGACGAGAATTCACTTTCCGTACTTCGTGTGGCTTCGAAGCCCAACTTCAAATCGAAGGACGTGACGTGCTGTCCCCGGGCCATAACTGAATCACGCGGTCGGCGCGCTGCCGCCCATGGCACCGTCGTACCAGGCACTCACCTGCTTCCAGTTCACGACGTTCCACCACGCCTTGATGTAATCCGGGCGACGGTATTGGTACTTCAGGTAGTATGCATGCTCCCAGACGTCACAGCCAAGAATGGGAATGCCGGGAGTGCCCTCGACACCTTCCATCAGTGGGTTGTCCTGGTTGGGCGTGGAGGTAATGGCCAGCTTCCTGATTGTAACAACGATATGGAAAGGTGAAGCGAAGGTTGAGAATTGCCATGTCAGGGCTTAGGGATGGAGATGGTCTTTACGTCACCCGATCAGCAAGCCCTAGCCACGAAACATTCCGCATCATCCGTGCTTGCCTGTGAAAAAACCGCCTCATATCCAGGTCGAAATGGGAACATGTGTGAGGATTTTACAGGAAATATCAACAGCATCTGAGCAGGGGCTCTTGTCAGCTGTAACCACCAGCCACACCCAGCCCGAACCGAAGCGAGCACCAGGAGCGCCAGCGGCTTCGAACTTGGCCTGCCCGACGGCCAGATGCTCCAAACTCCGTCCACTCCTCTACGCTTCTCCTCTCATCTTCTATGCCTCTTCCTCTCCCTCTCTCTCTCTCTGCCCAACATTATCAGAGGATGAAGTGACCACCTTAGGCTTGCCAATGAATTCAGTTCCGCGTTTTTTCTGAGGGCGATTCTGAATGCTCTATCAGTGTTCCTTGTGTATGCTCCTTTCTCTACTATTTTACGGCATGGCCTGTACATGCAAGAACCTTGTGTCGTACATTAGCCATGCCTCTCCTTCCTCCCTCCAGAACGGGGCCAAAAACACTATCGTTGAAGCCAGAAACGGCTGGCGTGCTCAGGTCGGCCCGACCTACCAGCACAAGAATCAAGACACTGCTGATTATAATGCACGCACTTAGCAAGACCTGCCTGTGCTGCACCGCAACTTGTGCTTCGATGCTGCCAGTCAGAACTGTTGTGCAAAAAAACACTTCTTGACGCAGAAGACCTCCTGCCCCCTCCCCCCACCCCCCCGAAACCAGAAACCCTAAACCCCTAAGCCCCAAGGGGTGGGCTTGGTGGAAGGAAAGGTGGAGGCGGGGTGGGGGCGCTGTTGAGAAGACAAGAAGCAGCGGACGGGAACACTATCGAACTCAGCCTTGAAATCATCCATGGATCCAAAGGACGCATCTATGGCTGAAGAAAGCTTCTCGGAAGGTGCACCCCCAGTGCCAGTGGGAGCCATCTCCAACCAGAAGAAGTTGTGATTGTAGGCGCCACCGCCACTGTTGCGAAATGCAGCACCGTCCTTGCGTCTCGATCACAGCTTACAAGCTCTCTGCGCCAGTCTATTTGGCACACACATCGACATGCTTCAGATCAATTCAGCTGGGCTCCTTGATGGCCGTCTTCTGTAGCTCAACAAGAGGAGGCTGCTTCTTGTCCTTAAGAGCCTTATTGATGTTGGTCACATAGGTGAGATGATGCTTGTCGTGATGGAACTCCATGGTGGCCTTGTCGATCGATGGCTCCAGTGCATCATAAGCATAGGGAAGGTCAGGGAGGTCATAGGCCTTGGCCGACTCCAGACCAATCAGGCTCGCCAAGCCAGTTGCCACAGTGGTGGCCACACCACGCCTGGTGGATGACCCTGCACCCGGCGTCACGAAGCACAAGTCAATACACTGACGTGCAGCAACCAAGACCAACGCTGCCACCACCAGCGCTGACACACCGCGCACTCGACGAGCCATGGCTTCGCGATTCGGGAAACCAACTATCTTCCCTTGGCTGAGCCTGCTTGCAATGCCTGAGGCTCCCTTGCGGCAGAGAAGCTTGGCTTTCAGAACCGCTGCCGATGTAGTGAGGGCCTCTCGCTTTGTCGGACGCGGTCGACCGTCTGGCATCAGCCGAAGAAGTGAGTTCAACTCGGACCTGACTGCACGGGCAGCCGCTTCAAATAATTGCAAGGTGTTGCAAGTCCTGGATCACGTGCTGCACCCTTTCTCTCGCAGACAGACCACACTGCGTGTTCAGCCTCGAGCGGAAAATCCCGTCACAATGGGATAACGTGCGCTTGCAATGCTTCACAACTGCTGCCATGGTTGCAAATCCCGACTTGTGGAGTATGTCGTATGGTGAAACGCTGCCGTCGATGACAAGTGTCTGCTTCTGTTCGGCACTGGTTGTTCGCGTGGCAGCTGGCTGCATTGCTGGTACAATCTGGTACAGCTTTATATGAAAGTTCTTTGACTTGCCAAGCTGGTGGCGTTGCCGATGCGGCACTACAATCACGACGTAGAAAAGCAACAGATGCCATCGAAGCAGCAGATGAAAATAATTTGTTCACTCTGAGGACGGTGAAACATGCTAAGCTCGAGCGGAATCTTACAGCTTGGCTTTACCAACTGCACATGTGCCTTCATCAGGCAGCCTCAACGAGAGCTTGCATTCAAGGTGGTGGTGGTCGTAGGCTCCTTCATGTGATGGAGCTTGGATCTATGCTGAATTTCCCTAGCAGTGCGAGATTCTCAGGGCGCTGGTCATCTTAGACTTGCATGCAATGATTGCGATCAAGCGTCGTCAATTATGCCTTGGATGGCAAAGGCTCATGCTGCGCTTGGTCCAGAGAACACAGTCGGGAGACTTGTGAAAAAACGAACTTCGGCATCCAAGGAACCATTCATGACAATGGGTTCTTCTAGCCTCTCTTCCAGACATCCGCCGGCCGCCTTCTTTGCCCTGACGAATTCAAGAAGACGACCTGTCTGATTGCCTTGGGTTCGGCTCTTCAAGACTCCACCACATTCGGAACACAAACGACGACACGCTTTGTAGCTGTGCAGCTTTCCGAGGAACATAAGTTCAGCGGATCCTCGAGACCTGAGAGACCCATCCAATTATTCATCAGATGCAGATTCATCTCGTCTTCCGGCCCATACTTTTCCCCTTGCACGTGTACTTTAGGTCTCGGGGTCATCTTGGCCTGCGACGCCATGCTTGGGCTTGTGATTGGAGTTGGAGGGCTGCATCTCAAGGTTCCGGGGCTGTGCAGACTGTGACCTCGTTCATGTACCTTTTTCGCATAGCCGTAGGGATTGCTGCTTCAGCGTTGCTCCCAGAGGCAGGCGAACCAGCGCATGAGTTTGCGTTGACATGTCAAGTAGAATCGGATGGGCATTGATTTAATCAATGCTGAAACAGCTGTTTACTGCACTGTTATGCTCATGTTCCGCGATGTTGATGCAAATGGTGCTAATGGCCGACGTTGAATCAAAAGATTCCACTCGCCGAGGGGCAGCATCCATTATCCTGATGCAGCGGCACACTTTAACGATGCCGTAAGCTGAATGACTGCACTCATGGGGACCGCCACGTGCAGGTGGGGGGAACTGTCATGCCAAGTCACATTCTTGCAGAAGACACTGGGGCAGCACACGGTCAGCTCGCCGTCCGTGGTGCATGTGTCAGGGCAGCCCTGCCAAACAAAAAAACGGAAAAAGCGTGGCGAAAAAACATTGCCACTCAACACGGGGCTTTCTGTATTCCTCTAGGGCCGGCTTTACACGACAAGACGTTTCCGGGCCTCACGGCCTAGTGAGCAGCGTCGTTGTTGGAGTTTGAAAAGCAATGCTTCCGCACTCACTCTTGTCCTCTAGATGGGAACTTGAAGGAAGGAGTTCTCGGACACTGGAAGTTGGAGCGAAGTGCCGCCGTTCTTGAGAAGAACTGCTTCATCGCTCGGGGCTAATTTGTCACTGAACGCCTCCCCCACATTTTACATGCTACAAAACACAAACCTATGACATGCTGCACGGACAGACGTGGCCTGGAGCAGAATAGCACAAACAATGCATACCTTAGCTGCTCTGTGTGCAGCGTCACGTCAGTGATGTTGCTAGGCCCTGTCAGCCCAACCCTTCGCCGCAGCCGCGCATAGCTGAAGCCTGTGTCTTCTGACTGCTAGAAAGTCACGCCGGAGAAGATGAGTCTTCTAAACAAATCGGCAGGCATGGGCACAGCACCTCGGACGCTCGCACCGGTCGTGGCTGTTTCGCAGTCAGAATCAGTCAGACAGGATGGAATAAGAATCCACGATTCTGAGACAAGGAGCTTGCTGCTGTCGAGCCCAGTGGCACACTGTTTGGGCCAGATGTTGCAGAGTGTGGATCATGCTCGTTCTGTAAACACCAACGGCTTACAAGGAGAGACTGGTCGAGCATCGCCGGGGATCATGACCCAAGTCGGACGAACTCCCCGTTGTGCTGCAGGTCGGGTCGGCGGAAGACTTCCTGCCCGGATGTCAGCATCAGCAGAGTCTTCGGAGCTGGCTATCAAGCGATCATGATAAGCGCACCAGCATGTCGAAGACGCCCTTCAAGCTTCCCTGGAAGCCATACTTCGGCAGAACCTTGCTCTGAACCTGCGCATGCTGCATGCTGAACGCTCGGGCTGCATGTGACCGTATTAGCAGTCTGCCCTGCACAACTTGACTAGAGATTCGAGAACCAAGCATGCAGTCACGTCCAACTCTTCCGCTGTCTAAGATGAGCGCTGACAGGAACAGCTCTTGTCTCATCGGGATGAGCTTGGGATCCTGAGGCAACATCTCGGCCAAGCTCGGTCATGCTCGGTAGCGATGACACGCGTGCTTGTGCCCAATGCCCGGCCTTTGCATGGAAGTTCTCCAGGATGTCGAGCCTGCGGGTGCTCATGTTGGACTCCGGGTCCGATGTCGACGGGAGATCTCAGAGGTTCGACGATGCCTCCTCTGAAAGGCGGGGTCTGCAAATCCTGCATGAAGCTCCCGCTGCATGGCAATCACCTCTTGCAGTGAGTGGGGTACATACTCGGTGGTACGTATACGCAGAGCTAAATGCACTGCACCTGTTGGACGCTGAGCTCTGGCAGTCCTTCGCATATTGCTGCACTTTGGTTCACGTTTCCCGGATGCTCAAAGCATACATGGCGTTATGATGGAAGCTCCAGCTGGCTCATCGTTCGACTCGACGTGATCCAGCTCCTGTGGTCAGGACGTCCAAGCATGAGTTTAGCAATGCAAGCATGTCGATTCATTAACTGGTCCTCCATGGCACTGCGACCCATCGGCGCCCTGCTCGCACTGCTGCGAGCATCCCGCGGATCCTGCATCAGTCTTTGATACGTGGTAGTTGTATCTTTGCAGATCTTCCAGCCTGAGGACGACTGAAGAGCATCCCCGGTTCGAGTCGAAGTCGCCTTTCAACACCTGGGCCGTTCTAAGCACACCTGAAACTGGAAGTTGCAGCACAAAGATTGGCTCCGGGGTTCGTGCCTTCTGCCAACGATCGGACAGACTGATCACTTGAGTGCACCTCTTGCACAGCACAAAGCGATTATAGCCGCATTATAGTCAATGTACAGAACCGTTGTAGCCTATCTGAAGTTCGTACAACGAACTTTTCACACCTGCCTTGACGGCATCGATTACTCTCTGAAGCTTCCACGCCCTGCCGAGGACGAGCTCAGTCGCCTTCTGCACTGCCTCGAGGATCACACTTGACTCCCTTGAGGCCAAATTCGCCTACTGTAAACAGCAACCATGTGTGGAGCGCGTCCAGGAGTCCCACCTGTCCCATGAGTTGAGTGATGCCGAGCTGCAACGCTATGCCGCCTCCTTGGTAGTTTCTTGGTGCGTTTTCTACTAGTGACTGTAGCAAGCTTGACTTCTGGCCAAGATCCCAGCGCTCGTGCAATTTCTCCAACTGCACTTGCAAATCATCCTGCGAATTCCAACAATGCTTACAAATACGAATAGCATCTGGAAGCCCATATTGAAAATCAGAAACCACGCGAGGCCTGCGCACAGACGTTCTCGAGTTCCTGCGGCGACATTTCTTCAGCACCCAGACCACACAGACTCTTCTCAGAGATCATGACACTTGGGCTGGGAAAGGTGACTGGTGACCGCTTCATCAAGACGAAGAGAAAGCTTCCAGACTGACAGATAGGCACATGCAGTCTGTGTCTGATGGCTCTCCTGAAGAAGTCGCTTCATGGAGTCCAACGGCCTCAAAGGTGGCAGTTGCAAAGCTGCTTTGAAAAGAGTTCAAGGATCACCGAGCCAATCGCAGGGCAGTCTCTACAGGCTCTGTGTCGTCAAGCTCAACACCTCAATTGTCAGGAATCCTGGAAATGCATGTTACATGATGGCGACCAACGACCAGCAGCCGGCTAAGCAGCGAGCCGAGCATCATCAGCTCGTTGCGACGGGAGCCATCTGGTGCCCAGCCAACAGTCTCCTGGTCCTCCGTGAAACCCCAGAAACAACTTGAATTGCACCGCATGCCAGGAATGAAAGATGAACGTCCTTGAAGGCGATCCATGGCGATGTGCCAGCACTCGCCTTGAACACGAACCTCGCTTTCCGTCGGATGTCATCCCTTCCAAGCTTCTTGGCCAAGGCTTCCCGAACAGCATCGAAAGTCCAGTTCGTCCATATAGTCAGTGTGATCTCGGGTCCTGCCTCGACGGCATGTCTTATCCTGATCTCATACTGCTGTGGTGGTGGAGGTGGCTTGGGCTTGGGTGGTGGAGCGGCCTTCTTGGGTGTCGGTTTGGGCTCAGGTGGTTTGGGCGGGGCGGGAGGAGGATCTGCACTTGGATACGCAGAGTCCTTTGCTCGAGGTGGTGGCTCTAGCCCCTCACGGCGGCGGGACACAGAGTACGAGTCGACACCTGCTCGCGAGCCCTCGTTGGGGCTCTGCACAGGTGTTTTGGGTTGCGCGGCATACGGATGGATTGGGGGTGGTTGATCGTCTTCTTGGTCTTCGACCGTTCGAAGATCAGCACCCAGTACTAAAACCTGACCGAGTGCTTGTGGAAAACACTCCGCTTGACAGTCTGGAACAGAAGCAAAATTGCAAAGCCTGACGAACGTCTCCGATGGGATCGTCATCCTCACGCGAAAGCTGCTGCTAGGTCCTGTTGGGACACACTTGGTCTGGCCTTGTAGGTTGAATAGACGCCTCCTTTTTTCTGCACAAGCCTCAACAAACGACAGGAAATTTACCAACAAGACAGACCCAGCTGCATGCTTGCCTGCCCTTGCGCAGGATCTCGTCGCGACCTCCACAAGTCGCCAAAACTGGAGCTGCTGCACCAAATGGTTGCTTTACTCACTGACTGATTAGTCAATCAACTGAGGTTCAGACCCAGAAATTTGGATATCGCCTGGTAGCTGGCTTGAAAACAAGAGTCATCTGAAAAGACTTGTCCGCCTATCGAAAACACGAACCCTGAGAGCCCAAGGCATAGACGGGCCGTTAGGGCAACGTTGAAAAATTTGGTGAGAGATATGCCCGGATTGAATGCCAAGCAAGCTTCGGCTGTCTGCGAAAGTCTATAGTCCATACTTTACAACTCTACTTGACGGCTGACAGCTGCTCGACGAAGAGCCTGCTTGCAGTCAAAGAAAGTGGCGTCATACGGAAGTGCCACTCGCACCTGCTACAATTTCTTCTGCCCCTGGTTTCAACGGGTAAGTGAAAGGCGACAGGCATCTCACCTCTGCATTGTCAACTGCATGTCGGGCCAGCACCTAGCATCGTAAGCCACGTAAATCCACGAGCGGGATAATCCAGGAACGGTGGCCTCGATGCCCTGCCGCGATTTCGACTTTGGCGGTAGAGGCCTTGACAGAGCAGGCTGCCGGACCGAGTCGAGGAGCACAGTTTCTGGGATGCCCGTCTCCTGTCGTGGTGGCACCTGCTTGTCAAAGAGCGTGCATTGCTTTCGCACACATGCATGCGGGGCCTTTGCTGGAGTCTTGCTGGTCTCGTCCTCCGGAAGAGGAGGGAAATCCTGCTCCTCGGAGCTGAGTTCTCAATGCTCTTTGTGCGGGGACAGGCGCTTACCCCTGCCTGGCCAGGCTCTCCAGGTATCCCGAAGAAAGCTCCGGGTGGCATTCTCAGCAAGCGCTCAACCTGTTCCCAGAGTTGCTGTCTCGGCTGCCATTGAACTCCGACAGGCCTCGTGAGCTTGAGCTTTGACATGGATATTCCACGAATGCTTGCTGACGCCACGTGCCATGTCCTGAAGCAAACAATGTATAGACCGCAATATGGGAGAGGCAGTTCTTCTCGAGATTGTCCTGGTACCCTTCCGTTGTGAGCGGAAAATCATACATTGCCTCAACGGGCAACAATAAAACAAGTCGTGCTCCAGAGATCTTGCAGATGGCACGTGCTACATTCTGGTATAAAAAGTCAACCGATTGAGTTGAGCGCCATCGTCCGATTAAAGGACTGGCCAACAAACATGGGCTGCATTCTCTGCACCGCTTCCGACCCTGCAGAACATCTGTTTGAGAAGGCTCTCCATCTTTCCGAATGCACGAGCCTTGCTTGTGTATGTTGCCTAAAGTCTTCTGAAAGTCCTGGTCCAAGCGCTTGCAGCTCAAGGAAACTCTGTGCAGGGAAGTCCTTTGTGCTTGCGATCTCTCGGAAGGCCTAGGCAAGGCAGAGGAGAGAGAGCCCAGAGCCCAGCGAGGCATAGCGAGGCCCAGCCCAGCGGGGCCTTGAGCAGTTCCTTCGCTTCCCCGAGATTCAGCGCCCGATCTCGCGTGGGCTTCCTTGAGCGAAAACAAGGATCCGCCGTGATCCACGAGGCAGAAGAAACGGCACTCGACAACGCGATTACTCGAGGGCAAGGCGGCTCCGACGCTTGCGACGCTTGCGGCGCTTGCGGTTTCGCAGCCTGGCAGTGCACACAGCCTGGTCTCTACTGGCAAAAAGGCAGCAACTCGAGATGCACCACGACATTCCGACTTTGCAAGGGGTCGGCCAAGATGCATGAGAGTGCTAGCAAGCTGCTGTGATTGGCCAAGTGCGATAGTCAGATAGTTATATCCAGAGACTGAACTTCGTTGGTGGCATCATACAAACAGGAGGAACGCATTCTTGATGAGGGATGCCCCAGATCTGCACTTCCCAGTCAACGTTTCACCTTCACCATAACCGCCAAACTCAATATACGCGCATTCGTCGGCATCTGTACATGAAACCTCGTGCATGAGGCGGCACATCAGGGTTGTGTGATTCTTCTGTTGCCTCCCGGGCTCGGGCTAAGTTGACAATGCAACTCTGATGAACGTGCCAATTGCCAAGCTCTCTTTCGCCAGGCGAGGAACAATATGAACAGCTTCCTTCTACAAGACGCAATGCATGCACTAGAACAAACCTTGAAAGTGGGCAGATTTCAGAGTCAAAGAAGGAATCGCCGGCGAGCCTCGCAAGCACGACGTAGCACTCACTGCCCATTTCTTTTCCAGGCCCTACAGGCCCTGCAGGCCCCGGCTTCGCTTCCGGAGCGGCCCTTCGCCACGGAGGTCCTGGGAGTCGAGCGCGCAATACCTCCCATAAACTCAGAGACGCTTCCGCTACGTACTGTACCTCACTGCTACACGATGCCAGGAGGGCACATGCAGTTCGAGCGGCTTTGGCCTCCGGCCGCTGCAGCGCCTGCTGCTGCTGTTTGAGGCCTCGCTGTTGCACCTGCAATATCTGCTGTAGAGCCTGCAGCTGGTCGATCTTGCTTTGGAGCTGCTCGGCCGACTGTGTTTGCGAACTTTCCTCTTCAAAGAGTTGTCTTAGAAGGGGCTTGAAGTCCTTCAGGTGGACCTGTTGAGTGGTGGCTGCAGCATTGACGGCGTGTTCTGCGGGCACGGCCGTGGAACTCTGTAGCTGCCGCGGGATTGCATGCTGTGGCACGACGGAGCAGCGCTGCTCCTGGCTCCGAGCGGTTTGCAAGGGACAGGAAGCTCGGACAAAAAGCTCTTCTATGGGCTTCCTGCCGAGCCGGACCGTTCAGCTGCTGGATAACAAGTTGCGCCAGCGATTGGGATTCGGCGGGCCTGAATGCGCAGCGGCGTTACTGATGATTGCTGATGATTGATGAATCGTATGTGAAGCTGTCCCTGAGGCCCTGACAGAGGCGGCTGTGGGAACAGCGATGGTGCGGAGCAGGACTGCGTGACAGTGACACGCCGCAGCTTGGGTGGCTCGCACCTGCGACTTCGGCGCTTGAGCATCCGGGCACCTCAGAGAATGCCGACATGCTGAGGGCACGGCGAGCTGCACCTGCCGAGGGGGCCAAGAGGGACGGAGCACACCTCGACATGCTGAAATTCACTTAGCACATCGCATCTCAGCACTGTGAGAGACAACTAGCATCGGGCTGCCCACTGTAGGTGTAGCTGAAGCGGTGGCCACGGCCACTGCACAGGGCCTGACAGCTCTCAGACGTTTAAGACAGTCTAACAGTACAAAAGGCTAACACGCAGTCGTAAGTGCTGCCGCTTCCGGGATTCCGCGCGATCACATTTCGCAACGCAAGATTTCGAAGGCAATTATGACCACACAGGGCTCATATAGTTTACCACACCAGTGTCTCGGACCTCCATGCATGCAAGCGTCACGGGTGTGCCTGAGGGCTGGTGTGGCAATTCCTTCTTTTGCTGTTGCTTTTCATGCCTATGCTACGCAAAACACTCGTGTTACTCCCCAAGGCTTTGCTGGCGACTGGCGACTCGGGCATTCTTACCAGTTCACCTGTGGAGCTAGTTGATGCAGTGCAAGTCTTGCAAAGCTGTTGCTTAAAATTTAAAGTGGCTCAAGACTGTTGGTGTGGGCCAACATCAGTGGCTTTCAGGTGGCAAGCGTCAAATCCGACTTTTTGTGATAGTGTCGTTGTTTGAAAGTTCACAAAAACCGAGCTAGGCTTTCATGTGCAACAGGCTCAGGCTCGGTGCTTTCCATGCTTCCAAAAATAGACAGGTTGTTAAATGTGCGCGGGAGCTCAGAAAGCTGCCGCTGATCCCAATTGCGAGGCAATTGGTCGTCTGCTGTTCATTAGCTGTTTATGGCACTGAGCTTGTTTCTCGGTCAAATTTTCTCTGCCGGTCTTACGAACTGAAGCTGCAAAAGCATGGGGTTGTAGGTATAGCCGTGCTTGTGAACATCTTTCTTGGCCTGTCACACTCGGTCAAGGAATCTGTTGATTCGGAGTTATCTTGCGTTGTGTGCAACTCAGCTTCAAAATGATGATCTGCTTTCCCGGATTTTAGGTTGTAGGGATTGTCAAGATGGTTCAGGCTTTGTCGGAAGCCTTTGCTCATCCTGATTTGCAGGTGCTGCAAGGTGGCTGGGTTAGAACCCGTTTAGTTGTTCTCTTAGCTTCGCTAAAGCTGACCGTTCCATGTAGCGATATATCTTAAGCACAAACAGAACAGGATGCTGATAGCCCGCATCTAGAAAGGCTGTACGCAGGTTTTTGCATATAACTGTTGCCTCTATGGCTCTAGGAGCTTTTCTAAAACAGGAGCCAAGCCATGCCAAACTACACATCTGACAGTTTGCCCACCAGGAAGATGTTCGGCCTTTGGTGCCGGGCCCAATGCAAAAGATGTCAATCTTTTTTCTTGATTCCTAAAATCTTGATGCTGACAAACTTGAAGAGCGAAACGCCACTTTTTCGGTGTTGTTCAGGCTGACCAGTCTGTTTGGACTTGTAGTGCGCGGTCGGCAAGCTGCACTGTCTCCGTCGAAACCAATCCAGGTTACTAGAAACCAATCCAGGCTACTAGGCAGTTTCCACTGTTTGTTGACTGAACGTGCACATGTTGCAAGCCTGTTGTGCGAGAATAGTAGCGATCCTCTGTGGTATAATCAGAGTCTCTTTTCCGTGGCTACGAAGCGAGCATACGAATAATTGCTTCGGGGTAAATCGTTTGTTGCTGCCTGCGGCAATCAAGACCTGTGGAAATGTGTTCAATCGATTGCAAGAGGGCATGAAGCGATCGAAATTTGCAAGGTGGCCTATAAGAATTGGAGAGCACTTCAAGGGCCGCACAACGCCATGGTAGCTGTTGAAGCTCAGCAAGCAGCTGAGTGTGTCTTTCTTGCTGTACAGCGGCTGCAGTATTGCCGTGCATTGCTTCAAAAAGCTGCGCAAAAGCAGCTCGCAAAGTCATGTCTTGAACTCATTCAGCTGTGGAACGCTCGCTTTGCCACCCCGCACTTAGCTTGCCATGCTTGGAGTCTTCAGGTGATGGCAAGTTATCTGATTTAGTGCCTGCGCCGGCTTTGTGGTTTGCTGCCTCGCACCTTTGTGCATGCTGTTCGCCGATTGGCCGCCAGTCTCAAATCTGGCTTGTGCAGCACAGCCGAATCTTCATACAGTTGATACTCTCAGTTTTGTTGATTTACCTCCACTGGTCATGTCATGCTACACAAACTGGAGGCAGCAGAAACACGTCCGTTGAGCCCAGAGTCCAACTTACAAAAAGTGTTACCGGACGCTTGAGTTTGGCCCGGAGCCACTGCCACAACCATGCCTGATATGGAAGGCCTTGGGTTGATGCCCGCTACGTTAGGTGAGTGTCCTTCCGGAGGCACGTCCATTCAAGCAGCCGCCGCTTCAACTGTGATAGGCTTGTCGCGCAGCCGTCTTCATAAACATCTTGAAGAGCTGTTATTTCTTGTCGAGTGTAGAAGCCGCTTTGTGCACCATCCGTGCTTCACAGAGTCAGCGAAGCTTCGACAAAGCAGACAGTCTATTTCGCTTTGCGCTGTTCGTGCTTTCTGTTGGAGGGTGTCGTCTGGGCATCAGGACACACTCGGGCCTGTCTGGCGTTTGGTGGGCCGATCTCGAGGGCGACTGACTCCTGCGGGAGGCAAACCCCAGCTTCTGCAGGGGTCCAACACCGGCCGCCAGGCCCGGGCCGAGCAGGCAATCGGACTGGCACGGCCACGGTGTAGGCGCCCATCCTGGGGGTGAGTGTCGCCGCCTCTGGCTTGCCCAACTCCGCGGGCCTGAAGGGTGGTGCCGGTGGTGCCGTCGCAGAGAGATCTTTCGCCTGAGAGTCGAAGCGAGGATGAAGGCCAGGCAATGCCGCATGTGATACCAAGGTCCGTGCGGCCGCTTGCCCTGGCGAGGAAGGTGGCCTTTGTGTGCTCCGTGCCCGAAGTTTGCGGCTCAAAACCAAAGCGTTTCCAAAGTTCGCAGGGGCTCAGGCGGCACGACCGTCGCTCGCACCTTCCTGGCCGGCCCACCTCCCAAGGCTCCACGCACAAGAGTCCAAGAGTGTCGGAGGCTTGACTCTGGGCTCACCAGCCGTTCTTCGAGGAGTGGCTACAACAGGTGCAACCTTTGATCACGACTGATCTTACATGCAAAGCAAGGTGGCTGCCAGGCGTGGCTGCCCCGCTGGGGCTGATCTTCATAAGTGTGACACGGTAGCTCCCGATGTGGACATCCAAGCTCTCCGGGACAAGGTTGAGGCCTTGATCCCGCAAAGCATCAAGACACGCTCATCCCGATCATGTTGGACCCGGGCCTCACTGTTTGGTTGTGAGACCTGACGAAGATGTGAAAAGGCGCAGAACCCCCGCATCGAGTGAATATGAGCCCGCGCCTCCCTTACCCGAGGACTCTGTCCAACTTGGCTACCTGCCGCAACGCATACAGACACATACTGCACAGGATCTCGGAGCCCCTGAAGCACATGCAGCTTCTTCACAGTACCATGTGTAGTCACAGTATGTCACAGTCCTAAGCTCACCGGCAAACCTGGCACAGCAGCAGTCGCTGTCATTCTGCCAGGCCTCACACACACCGCAGCCCTGAACTGATTGCAAGCACAACATGCACCAAGCAACTTACCACCTGCTGCTTTGCGAAACACTCAACCTCGCCTGTTGACCATCTTCACGTTTGCTTCAGTCCCTGGCAGCTAGAGCTAGAATCGTCAGTTCCGCATGAGAGAGAAGGCTTCTTGTATTGAGCCGCCTGCCATGCCGCATTAAGGTACCATCCAGCGGACTCAAGCTTGCAGCCATGATCTTCAGAATCTTAGCGACCCTTAATCATACAGACTCTAACAAAGAGGATCTTCATCGTCAGGACCCCCAATTCCTGAAACCTCTCCTGTCGCCGAAGGAGCACCACAGCATTGCCATGCGAAGGAACCCTGAATTCCTAGCCGTTGCCGGAAAGCCCTCCAAGGCACGGGTGAAAGCCTTGCCTCGTCTGCGACTCGCTTCATTCTGCCGCGAAGTCTCCTCAGCACAAGGAAAGAGCGCTTGCCTCGAGAGGGTCTAAAAGCCCAGCCGGGGCTTTGGCCTTCCCGGATGCAGCCTTCCCTGGTCTCGCTGGAGCGACTTCTTTTGCGTCTTTGTCGTCTTCGCCTTTCAAGGTGACCGAATCACGGAGTCGGCGACACTTTGAAAGCTTCAGGCCCTGACTGCCCACATCATCCTGTCCGACTCCCGTGCTTTCCGTGGCCTGCCCAGGGGCCGCTGCAGCGCATGTGACTGACCGGAAGCTCGGATGAAGTATCCCGGAGCACCGGAAATTGTACTGCAAATGCCTCGGAGTCTTGCTTTGCCTTCTTCATGCCTCAGTCGTAGTTGCACTCTCCCCAATTCGACAGAAAGCTGACATGGGAAATTGAGATGACATCGATAAGCTCCTCGGCTCATGCCAAGGCCAAGGCGATAGGACAAGGGCGTTACGAAGCGCTTGACATCCTGATACGACATAGCTGAAAGAACAGGCACCCAAAAAGAGCACAGGCCAGTGGCAGTGATCTCCCCTGCCTCGTAGCGCGACTCACCTCAGAATGTAACTGAGCACGGCAGAGCCTCTGGAATTACTCTGAGCGTTTCTGGAACACGATTGTGAACCGACCATCTGCCAAAATGTCGAGGTACGGATTCGTCGAGGTCCTGGGCGGTTCCGCTAGCAGGCTACGCATACAAAGGAAACTTGACCTGCATCGAGAGCATGAGACAAAACAGAGAAGGAATTATCACGTCAAGCTTCTTGGAGTCTGCAGCGCGGGGCAGGGCGCTGAGGACGACATGTGGCTTGTGTGTTGGGCGTGGGTGTCTTGTGTGAGTTAAACTCGTAAGCTCTGTGGCTGCGAGTGGCTTTCCAGTAACATGACCGGCTCTGACCATCTTCATTCAAACAGCTTCATGCAAAGACGAGAGACGAAAAGACAACGAACTCTTCACTCCTGACTGTCAGCAGTCAGCCAACTCAAAGTAGCAACAGAGGTACTAGAACTGGCGATAGTCGCCGCAGCAGTAGCTGTGGTCAGCCGTAGTTGTGGTCGCCGTCGTAGTCGAAGTCGTAGTCGTAGTCGTCGTCGTAGCGGTCTTTGCTGATAGTAGTAGTAGTAGTAGTAGTAGTAGTAGTAGTAGTAGCAGCAGCAGCAGCCTCAGTAGCAGTAGTAGAAATCGTGGGGAAGGGGGATTCTAACCCCTCAACCCTGTTGCCTTATCTTGTCATCATCTCTTGT